GAACTCTTCAGGTTCTCACCGTCTGTGATGACGAGGAAGCTGAGGAGGGAGGTGGAAGTGGGTTAGAGATGGAGGATGAGGAGAAACTACATTTGGATGTAGCAGAAGTATCCCTAAATTCTGTGGTGGGATTCACTCCAAATCACACTATGAAAGTGAGGGGAGAGATGGCTGATAGAAAGGTGATAGTGTTGATCGATAGTGGGGCAACCCACAATTTCATCTCCACTCAGATGGTTGACTTGCTGGGGGTGAAACTGGAGGATACAGGCGGCTATGGAGTGATGCTGGGCACAGGAAAGGTAGAAATGGGAAGGGGAGTTTGTAGAGGAGTAGTGCTGATGATTCAGGGGATCCAGGTGAAGGAAGAATTTCTTCCCTTGGAGTTGGGGAGCACTGATGTCATCCTGGGGATGAAATGGCTGCAGACCTTAGGGGAGACCAAAGTAAATTGGGGTGCTTTGAGGATGGAGCTAATGGTGGAAGGAAAGAAGATGGTGATCCAAGGCGACGCAGGGCTATCCAGGACCGGCGTGTCTCTCAGATCCATGATCAGAACCATACAGGAGGTGGGAGGTGGATATTTGGTGGAACTGCAGCGCTTGGAGAGGGTCAGCGTAGGAGATGAGGGAAGCCTTCCTCTAGCAGTACAACCGCTCATACAACAGTTCAGTGAGGTGTTCCAACCGCCTCAAGGCTTACCACCACTCAGGGAACAAGAGCATGCAATCATTCTGAAGGAGGGGGTGCCACCAGTTAGTGTGCGACCCTACCGCTACCCCCAAATTCAGAAGGACGAGATCGAGAAGCTGATTAAGGAGATGTTGGACGCGGGGATCATCAGACCAAGTGTGAGTCCTTTCTCTAGTCCTGTACTACTGGTCAAAAAGAAGGATGGTAGCTGGAGATTCTGCGTGGATTACAGGGCATTGAATAAGGAAACTGTGCCGGATAAGTTTCCCATTCCGGTGATCGATGAGCTACTGGATGAGCTGTATGGAGCAGTAGTGTTCTCTAAGATGGATTTGAAGTCGGGCTACCACCAAATCAGGATGAAAGGGGAGGATATTCCGAAGACGGCATTCAGGACACACGAGGGGCACTATGAGTTCTTGGTGATGCCATTTGGGCTTACCAATGCTCCAGCCACTTTCCAATCCTTGATGAACAGGGTGTTTCGGCCGTACCTGCGGAGGTTTGTACTAGTTTTCTTCGATGACATACTGGTGTACAGTCGATCCGAGGAGGAGCACCAGGAGCATTTGAAGGTGGTCTTTGGAGTGCTACGGGAGCACGAGTTTAAAGCCAATCTGAAGAAGTGTAGCTTCGCCCAGAAGAGTGTGGAGTATCTGGGACACTTGGTATCTAAGGAAGGGGTGGCAGCTGATTCAGCCAAGATCGAAGCCATGCAACGGTGGCCTCTACCTAGGAACTTGAGGGAGCTGAGGGGATTCCTGGGACTGACGGGCTACTACCGGAGGTTTGTGAAAGGGTACAGCAACATAGCCTTGCCCCTGACAGAGCAGTTAAAGAAGGATAGTTTCTTGTGGGGAGAAGCGGCTACTCAAGCTTTTGAGAAGCTTAAGAAGGCAATGACCACGGTACCAGTTTTGGCCCTACCAGACTTCAGTCAGACGTTCGTGGTGGAGACAGACGCATCCGGGTATGGGTTGGGGGCGGTGCTGATGCAGCAGCATAGACCCATTGCCTACTTCAGTCAGGTGTTGGCAACAAGAGCAAGACTGAAGTCTGTATATGAACGGGAATTGATGGCCATAGTATTGGCAATTCAGAAGTGGAGACCCTACCTGCTAGGACGGCATTTCGTCGTCAGGACAGATCAGAGGAGCCTGAAATACCTGTTGGAACAACGGATGGTGACAGAGGAACATCAGAGATGGCTGTCTAAACTATTGGGATACGATTTTGAGATCCAGTACCGACCAGGGTTGGAGAATAAGGCGGCTGATGCCTTATCCAGGTGTGGGGGAGAGCTACAGGCGGTAACCATGTCGGTACCCCTAATGGTGGATTGGGGGGAAATCCAGAGAGAGAGTGAACATGATGAAGAATTGAAGAAGATCCGATTGGATCTATTGAAGGATAAGAGCAGCCACCCAAGCTACACCCTTGAGGGGGAGAGATTGTTGAACCAAGGAAGGTTTGTGATACCACAAAATTCCATCCACATTCCCCAGCTATTACAGGAGTTTCATGGGAGCGCCATTGGAGGTCATTCCGGAGTAGAAAAGACATATCGGAGGCTGGCCGCAGAATTATACTGGAAAGGAATGCATAAGCAAGTGCAGGAGACAGTGGCGAGGTGCGAAGTGTGTCAGAGAAACAAGTATATGGCGATGGCTCCAGGGGGGTTACTACAGCCCTTGTCGCTTCCAAATAGAGTATGGGAGGAAGTGTCCATGGATTTCGTGGATGGCCTACCACGATCGGAGGGATTCACTGTTATTATGGTGGTGGTTGATAGACTGAGCAAGTATGCACATTTCACACCCCTTCGACACCCTTACACTGCAGTGACAGTGGCGGCTTCTTTCATCAGGGAAGTGGTTAGATTACATGGAATTCCAGAGTCGATAGTGTCTGATCGCGACAAGGTGTTCCTCAGCCAGTTTTGGAAGGAGCTGTTCAGGTTACAGGGGACTATTCTCAAAAGGAGCACAGCCTACCATCCGCAAACAGACGGGCAAACAGAGGTTGTAAATCGGAGCTTGGAAACTTACTTAAGGTGTTTTGCTTCTGAAACACCAAGGGTATGGGCCAAATGGTTGGCCTGGGCAGAGTATTGGTACAATACCTCGTACCACTCAGCTTCCAGGATGACCCCTTTTAGAGTGCTATATGGAAGAGATCCACCACATTTGGTGCATTATGGAAGGGGCAGCACACCCGTATCTTCAGTAGAGCAGCATTTGGAAGAAAGGGATAGGATGCTGGAGGAGTTGAAGAAACATCTGATGAGGGCACAACAGATCATGAAGAAACAGGCGGATGCACACAGAAGGGATATCCAATTTGAAGTAGGTGAGAAGGTATTTCTAAAACTACGGCCCTACAGACAGAGGACCTTGGCCAACAGAAGAAATGAGAAGTTATCCCCAAGGTATTTTGGCCCCTATGAGATATTAGATAAAATTGGGGCAGTGGCATACCGTTTGAAATTACCACCTTCGGCCACTATACATCCAGTATTTCATGTATCACAGCTGAGAAAAGCCATTGGGGAGTATGCAACCAGTGCTGAACTGCCAACCACATTAACTGAGGAGATGGAAGTGATCCTAGAACCTCTGGAGCTGAAAGATGTGAGACTTGACCAGGAAGGAAACAAAGAGGTGTTGATCGCATGGAAAGGGCTCCCCGAATTTGATGCTACGTGGGAGCCATTTGAAAGAATGAAAGATCAATTCCCTTCATTTCACCTTGAGGACAAGGTGAGTCTTTGGGAGGGGAGTAATGTTAGGCGGGCCCCTCCGATCCTTACTTACTCTAGGCGGGCCCCACATGGAGTTAATTCAAGGGTTGGAGGGAAAATTTGAATGGAAAGGGGGGGAAATTTGAATAGAAGGGCTGTTTAGGGATTTTGTATGGGAATGAGAGTTAAAGAGGGGGAAAGGGGGGAATTAGGTCCTCATCTTGAATTTGAATGAAAAGTTTGAGATCTCATTGTGTGCTTGGGCTCTAGGGTTTGCTAGAGACTTGTGGAGAGTTGTTCTTCCTCTCGAATCGAAGGACGTTGTATCTTTCTTTGTTTTCTTGCATCTACTAGTGGAAACCTTGTTTCTTTTCCTTATTTTTCTCTGTTTGGGTGCATTTCCTGCTGCGGAGCTGCTGTAAAACTGCTGGGACAGCAGTTTTGCTCACTGTTTTGGGCTGATTTTGACTAGGGTTGCTTGCGAACTCAAGTATTACCTTAGGGTTACTTGCGAACTCAAGTATTTCCTATCAAATTGGTATCAGAGCATTGTCTTGGGACTGTTGGAGGCGGAATGTCTTAAGAAATATATTTGATCATAGTAATCTTCATTTACCCTCCCAACAATGACAACTGTCTAGGGGTACGAAAATAGATCCCTCCATTACCAATGACTAGTAACATCACTAAAAGAGAATATATTTTTACATTAATTACAAAAGAAATTTAATAAAATAAATTTTCTTATTTTAATTTTTTTTAGTATTTTTTAATTATATATTTCAATAAATAATTAATACAAAATAGAATATAATTTATATAAAAATTATTATGTTAATTATTTATAATATTTTTGTTTTAGGAAATAGGTAAAAACGCAAAACCATATTTGTTTTTCTATAGAAAATCCAAAATAGTTTGGCATTTCCACAGAAAACCCAATTTCATTGTGTTTTTACACTTATTTTTTTTTCTAATCCTGCACATTTCCTTAATTAATTTTCAATTAAGCTCCTTTTTAAAATTTTCTCTTTGTTTAAGCTCCTACCCATGCCAGTTAACGTGCACCACTTTTCCTTTGCTAATTTTATCAAGTAACACAACTCTCCTTGGCCTATTGGTTGTGAGCTTAGGCTTCCAACTAAGAGGTTCAGGGTTCGAGTCTATGTGTATGCGTTGTGCGTGTGAGTTTGCCTTAAATGGCCTAAATGTCCCAAAAAAAAAAAATTTATCAAGTAATTTAATGGGTGTATTTTTTATCTTTGTTATATACGTACAAATCACTTTAATCATATTTTGTCATGTTATCAATGTTGCTTATAATTTAGCAGAGATGAAGCTTCAGTTCTGAAAAGATTCTCAAATTCTGTCATGTTACTATGTATTTTCTTCTAAATCATGTTAAGTCACCGAACAAGAATGTCTTGGAAAAGTTTACTTGCTAAAGAGACTGTATAATAACATGCACATTAACTTGATGTAAACTTCATCACGAAAAAATATTGGTTTCTTGGATGCGTTTATACTATTAAGCATTTTGTTGTAAAGAAGGGCACGAACAACTGACTACCTGCTTTATTTGATGTCTGACATTATAGCCCCCGCTTACCATAAAATCAACCATTGCATCTTCCCACCAGGGTAGTAAGCAGTGTAGGCGAGTTGCCTGCAATTCAGTGCCACTTTTTAAAAGTTATGCTATAAATGATTAAAAAGTTTTCAATGAAATATCTGTGATCTGAACGTGACAAAAAGATTATAGAACATGCTAACAATAATCAATTTGAAAGAGCCTGTTATTTCTTTTAATTTTGATATACTGGGAATGACTTCTTTCAGATAAATTTTCACAAATGGTGCATGACCTATCAAAATTTTATCAAATAGCTAATACTTGTTTCAGATGCTTAAAAGCAAGACGCGTCCTACCACTGCGGGCCAAAAGGAAGGGTTGACGCAGGAAGCCTTGATATCGTTTGAAACTATCACAATCAAAACAATAATCCAATGAGATATTTTTTGCTTTGCTTCACTAGGTCTCGTAGTTTTATCCTCAACCACAACTTTCCAAAAATTTCACATATCCTTGAATTGCTTTAAGAAAAACATGCTTAATTTTAAAAATCCTAATAAAACAAATATCATTACAAGTTTACAACAAAAGGTGTCCAACTAGTTAAGAGTTCAGCTTTAACTCTAGGGAAGTTGCACCAAGTGGACAAAGCAGATGCCTGCTAGGAGAAACCGAATAATATCTAAATAAGAGTTTAAGTCGTGAAAAAGGCATCCGCATAATCCATTAGCCTAAAGATACAAACAAACTAACCTTGGGCTCCGAAAATTCACGTCACAGCCTCCTCTGCTTTCAGAAGAGTTTTAACGAATTAAGTTCCGAGGTAAATTTTCAGAAAGCATATTGGGTTTGTAGATAGGACACTACCCAGAGATTTTGCCCTCATTTTGCGAGTGTTTTATGATCCGAGTTCTGGTTTCCGATAGGTGCAAGCCTCTATATTTAATTACCCCTCTCGATACATAGAGTGAACTTTTTTTTTTATATAGATAAAACCCACTGTAGGGGCTTACACGTTATATTAAAAAATTGTTACAAAAGTCCTTAAAAGGAACAATTAGCTCACTAAATGCTCAAAGAGCCCGAATAAGATCCCATGGTTCCATCATCCCGAGCCATCGTGGTCCCTTGTCTACTCAGTTAGAGGAGGTAGTCGACCCAACCTGACAAAAGGATCCTTGTCGGCAGTCATGGATTGCTTCATCCAAGGGTACCTTGTAGACCTAATGTGGATATTTGTCTAAGAGAATATTTTGAATCCACCTTAGCTAACAGAGAGATTTGTGCTCTATCGATCATATCCTATTGATTCATATCTCAAATATTTAATGTAATTGAGGAGCATATGGGCTCTAACAATGACTGTAATATAATGATGTCATTTTGCAACAAAACCACCCAGTTCAAAGGGTCCCGATCATAACTGTTTACCTGCGAGGCTATTTGGCGGCAGAATGCACAGTGTGGTGCCATTTGGTGGCAAAACTGGCAAACAAGTTAGATCACACATGTCACGTCCTTACTCTCAAGAAACGGATTGAGAATGAATCCTAGTGATATTCTCAACTAGATATTAACTCTTTGTGAGCTAAAGTTTCAAATTTTTCCAGCTGGGCAAATTGTTGCGGAAGGTGGATGAATATTTGACTTTAAGTACTTGATGAATTATTTCATTTTAAATATTTTAAATTCTGGTATTTTTGGATTTTTTGAATTTTAATGGCATTTTGGAGGTATTTTTATGTGTTTAATGTCCCCTCCGGTTGAGATTTTTTATCAACACGACCATTATCGGGGTTTATAGGCAATATTGTTTTATTAGTTGAACATTGTTGACTATGTCTTATTTGCCGACAAAGGATCGAGTTTGTTATAGACTTGGAGCCTTTGGTATATTCTTGAGAATTAATCCCTCCTGTTGAGATTTACATTCAACACGACCATCATCAGGGCTTTCATGGGTTGTTAAATTTTTATTGATTGAATCTTATCAATTATGTCTACTTGCCGACAAAGGATTGTTTTCAAATCTAAATTCCTTCCCTAACCCGTGTAGCATCTTCAAACATCACGTGTGTATCTGCAACACGCTCGCAAGAGCCCATCGAGTATATGTTATTATATGTATATGGCATAATGCATTCACATGTGTGCATAATACGATTTTTGAGAAGCAATTTTAGTGTCAAATGACATACTGGAGTGAAACCCTCTACATATTGCAAATACGGGCGGTAGAATATTTTGGAGCATAATTGCAATGTCAAAAGACATGTTTGAATGAAACCCTCTGCATCCTACCAATGCATGCAAGAGATCACTTTAAATTATGATTGCACTGTCAAATGAAATGCTTGAATAAAACCCTTTACATCTTAAAAATACATGTAGGAGGTCATTTTAACATGTAACAACGATATTAGATGACATGCCCGTGTTCCATAAGTTATGACACGTGTATATTGACTATATTAACATGTAAATGCAATGCATTTGTTACAATTAAATGTATCTCGCGATGCTAGATAATATGTTTAAATGAATTGTCATTCATGTTGCAATGCGTGTATGATGACATTTTAAAATATATAGCACTAATCAATTGTGTGGGCAACTATCACTCAAAGATGTGCAAAAACAGGAATCTTGGAGGAATCGGGATTGGGAGGTTGGATGCTTGAGGCGTATACATGAGATGAATATTGAAGTGGATTGAGTGGAAGGAGATTCATGAAAGCAGTGGGGATTGCGAACGGCTATTGACATCGAACGGGATCGGAGTTATAGCGTGAGGAAAAGAGGAAGATTATGGCTTGTGTTGCTTGCGGCAGGAGAACCGGAAAACAATAGGTCCATTCGGGTGAGGAGAATGATTTGATGGGTGCAGATTCGGCTATAAGGATTCAAACTGATGGATTAGCTGCAGCTAATCGGGAAGAGGAGGAGACGTTCGAACGAACCGGTTCAGCACAGTGCTTGCGGCTAGATCCCGTTGAGGTCGAAAGTGTAAGAGGCTCTGGAATGCGAGCAACTAGATGTGCGACGCAGTGACTGAGTGGATCGAAATCGGAAGCTGCAACTGTGTGAGTAGTCCGGCTTGTCGAACTCAGGCGTCGGGTCAACGGGTTGTTCGAGTGGAAGGAGCTGGGCACAATTTGAAGGGTGACTGACGATTTGGGGAGGTATTTTCGGCTGTTTGAGGAAGAGAACGTTGATCGAGTTGCGGGAGTTTGGTTGGAAGCTCGATGCGGGGGTTCGAATAGGGAGATGGAGGCTTGTGAAGTTTGGCCTGTGAAGAACAAATGATGGGATTGAAGTCTCGAAAGCTTGAGAAGGTCCGATTACACGTGAAAAATTGAAAACGAAACATTCGCTTTATTCCCATTTAAAGACAAGCATTTAGCAGCAATTAAGTCGAACGTCATGTGAGAGGACAGACGGAGGTCGCTTGGAGCTTATCATCGACGTGTTGAGCTCGCCGCCAGACGTCCGGGTTATAATGCGAGGTACGTTGTTGGATTTGATTCAATTTTTTTATATTATTATTATTATTATTATTATTATTATTATTATTATTATTATTATTATTATTATTATTATTATTATTATTATTATTATTAAAGCTACAAAAATCGGGATGTGGATTTTTGCATCAATTTTCACGTAATTTCTTGAAATTTGTACATCTTGTCTTGAAAATCGCATTGATTCGCGCACGTGAATTTCATTGGACAAATTTACAAACCATTTTGAGTATTATTCTCGACACTTCGAGTGGAACGATGAAGTCCATTTTGCGATCGGACATCGTTTGGGCAACGTCACGTGTCAATTTTGGGTGTCGGTCGTCCCTTTTGACCGATCTCATCCGATTTGACTGTGAGGATTCCCTCTTAGACGAATTCGATTGCAATGGTGGAGTGGTTTTGATAAACGGATGTCATTTGGCCTTTTGCGCACATCTATCATTATTTTTGTCGTTGATTTCACTCCTTTTCATTCGTACTTGGTGTGTGGATCAATAATGTCATACGAGACAAGTGTTATATAGTGGGAGAAATCTCTTGAACGTGTAAAGGCTACCCTAAAATTCTATTTTTCTAAGAAATGATTATGAGAAATATGAAAGATTACTGACAAGAATGTTAGTTTCTTAAATGAAGAGATTGTAAGATCTCCAAGTATAATGAGGCAAAACTGTTAAACATAAAGGTGTTTTATTTTGTAATAGTCGGCAATATAAATCAAAGTACATAGATTGACCGTATTCATCATATTCTTCCATATTGGCATAATGATGTGAATATGTGCTTATTATTGAGTACACCAATAGTTCTTGGCCTACGCAGCCTACTCCTTACGTGTATTGTGCAATACTAGTATCAATTTGATGTGAGGTTTCAGAGTTGGTATATCCAACTTTTTCTTGTATCTTATTTGCAAATAAATTTCACATCTTATCGTAACATGTGTATTTAGGTCTTTACATCTCATTAAACCTTTTTTAGGACATGCTAGCAGGCACATTCGCCTATTGTACCACTTTGCATATATGAAAAATGGTTATTTTTATATTTAAAATTTTGAGTACACAATTGATTTCTTAGCTGTGCTTTGTTGAGTAAGATTAAATTTTGAGGATGAAGACCATCTAAGTTGGATCGACCATAATGATCTAAGAAAAAGCAAAGTTTGTCTTGAATCATGTAAAAATTCAAACTAATATAGCTATGGATCAACCACCAATCGATGCACCTTTCCCTTATTAATACCAAGAAGAGCATGGAACATTGATGGATAAGAAGTACGAAATCATTTCATGTGGGGAGTTTAAGAGGAAGAACCCAATAGACAAGGATGAGGCTTGAATGTGAGGCATTTCTCTCTCTTCCTTTCTTGTATGTATATATGTGATAACCTTTTTATTTTTCGTTATGTTTTCCAATGGCTAGCCAACAATGCATGGATCTTTAAAGGTGAAGAGGTGAGTCACGCATTTATAAGGATTAAAACATTATTTTTTCAATTTATAGAAGTTTTCCTTTTATTTTTGAGGGGTAGAAAAGTACCCCTTACACTTAAGGGAAATTTTTATAAGATGGTGGTAAGACCTACAATGCTTTATGGTGCAAAATTTTGGCCATTAAAAGAGAAACGTTAAATTAAATAAAGTGTTGCAGAGATGAAGATGCTCAAGTGGATGAGTAGCTTTAGAGATAGAATGTAAAACGAGTATATACGTAAAAAGGTTGAGGTAACTCCAGTTGCATATAAGATTAGAGAGAGTAGGCTTAGATGGTTTGGTCACACAAAATGTCAGCCTTCTGATGACCTAGGAGAGCAGAGGTATCAAATTTAGCTTATGCCAACAAAGGTTGAGGTAGATAAAAAAAACTTGGCTAAAAAATATTAGAAATGACCTTTTTTAGTATATTTAAATGAAAATTTGACTCTTAATAGGATATAATAGAGAAAAAGGATTTACGCAACCGACCCCACGTTGTGGGATAAAAGCTACATGTTTTTCTTTTTTTTTTTGTAATTTGACAATTATGATCACTAGTAAGTTTTTGTATGAAGATTAAGTTTGTGGATAATTGAGGTACATGGAGCACATTTTTTTTAGTAAGGGAGGGAGATAAGGGTATGTCTCATTGGACTGCTATTGTGGTATGAAAATCATCAGTAGTGATAATTTTCTTATCACTCAAGCAAGGAGTGTAGTTGATGAAGTGGATAGTGGAATATATCATGAAATATGTGGCTCCTTAGTCAATGATCTATAAACCTTTCAAATAATTTCTAAAGACACTTAATCCAAAGGATATATAAAACTTACCTAAAAGCGCAAGAGAAGAAGATGCAGGTACAAGGGATACTAGGAGTTGTTTTACCTTATCAATATCTTCTTTGTTGAGTTCTTTAAAGCTGGACTGCATTTATGGGTTGGGTTGACCTGTTGTATGTTAGCTTGTGATATCCCTTTTTGTCCACTTCTTTGATTCCACTACTTACTTGAGGGATTTTCATATAACTTCCAACATGTCTCATTTGTGTTTCTTGAATGCTTGCAATAACTGCACAAAAGGGAATCTTTGTCTTTAACTTCTAAGGAATCCTTATCTCTTTCCTTTCATAACGCTTCTTTGCTTGTCATCATTGTTGAACCTTCAACAATCTTTGGTTCTAACACTATTGTTGACTTGTAATAAAAAAAATCATCAAAAAAGATCAGAATTCCATACATGCTCGCACGTCATCGCCATCCTTTGCACGTTGTAGACACGTCCGCGACGCTCCTCCCACGTCACACAACCTCACGTCGTTAAATAGCCGAAGAAGCAAGGCATTCAGCTCTTTCTCTCTCGCTCGCTCTCTCCCATCTCTCTCTCGTTTGCTTCTTCATTGCCGATCGACCACCCTCCCTTGACGATTTTCCCTTCCTGTCGATGCGAAAGTTCCAACATTTTTGATCGGACGAAAAGACAGCAGCTCGCTGCTATGAGGGTAACCTTCGCCCTTTGGCGCACTTTTTCAGCTCCTTCGACGTTGTTCGACTTGTCTCCTTCAGTGACCTTCCCTTCCAGTCGGATCGGAAGCAACGGGAGCCGCTTCTTGTGAAGGATCAAAAATTACGACACTTTGGCCAGAAGCAACAACGCGAGCTCATTTGCTCAGAATGTAGCTTCCTTCTGCACCGCTTCCTCGGCTCGTTCCTTGTCGTCCGACTTTGTCCCTTCGACGACTTCACCTTCCTGCCGAATAGGAAGTTGTGATATTTTTATCGGAAGCAATAACAGGAGCTCGCCATTTGTGAAGGTAACTTTCTCCCTTCCGAGCGTTTCTTCGGCCAAATCCAATAAATTTGTTGAACCAGAGAGGAGGGTTTTAATTCATTTTAATTATTATTAATTATTTTTAATTATTATTTAATTATAATTATAATTAATTAGTTAATTATAATTAATTAATAGTTAGTAATTAATTATTAATTATAATTGTTTGATTAATTTCAATTAATTATAGTTAATCATTACGACAATGATAGCACGGTAGTAGAAAAAACTTGATTCTTCCTTTTAGTTGCAAGCAAAGAGACTTTTACTTCAAGATGTTCGATATAACTTCCAGGCATGCGAGAATACTTCACCAGCTTGGTCGAAACTTGCTCCCTCTCTTATCCAAGATGTGCACAAGAGAGGCCGCAGGTACAAGAATAAAGGATTCCAAGTTATCGGTCCCTTACAGACATTCGGCTCTTCCCAAGCACACGCACACAAAAAAATCCTACGCTCAATTCCGCTTCTGCGTAGGCAAGAACGCGCACAAGAGACTCGGTTTCCTTCATACGCACGAGGGTTCCAGCTCACTCCTCTCCACTTGGCTTCCTGTAAGAGACATACGCACGAGAGATTATGGTCCCTGCTTCTTCTGGCCGCAAGCACGAAACAAAGGGCATGAGTAGTTTGGACCGCTCAACTCTCGTTCGATCTCCAACGCCAATAAAGACCGCTTGCTCCTCTCTACTTCCTTCAATTCGTATATCCCAGGAATCGAAGAAGCCAAGGTCCTGTCCTCTCTATACGCAAGAAGATTTGGCAACGACAATGGAAATGAAGGCCAGTGGTGGGACTCGTGGATTATATCTCCTTAAGCTAGGATACCATGTTACACTCAGAGAATTCGAGAAGAAAAAGACTTAATTTTATTGCACAAAAACATCCCTATTTATAGATATATACAAGATATATTAAAAAAAAAACCCTAATATAATCCTTCCTAAATCAGCCCACTCAACTATGGAAAGAGATCGGCATGATCATGGTGAGCCTCGCACAGATCCCCATCCTGATCATGGGATCAAGTGTCAAGGGTCAACTAAGATTTAACAATTATCAATGCTTCAAGCCCAATTTATACCAAGCATAAGTAAGAAAAGTAAAGGCAAGCCAAACAATGCCATGAAGACAATCTGAATAGGTTAGTTGCAAGACACTTAAAAATGTCATAATCACATTAATGGGGGACAAGAAGTAATATCCAGCACAAAGATAATAATATAATCCATAATTTAATATTTAATAAGTTGAGCCAAGAAACTAATAGAAGTGAAAGGTTTTGGATCCCAGATGCTCATAAAAAAAACAATGAATGACAAAATAAATAGCTTGTCAGATAAATATGACGCAGAGTTTGTCAAGAAAACACATAAATATTGAGCTTTTAATTTATTACAGGATAATGCAAGTGCAGAAGCTTTGTAGCAAGAAGTAAATTTTTTTGTAGATTATTTCGTTTTTTTTTTAATAAAAAAGTATATTTTTTCGTAGTTTTTTTTTTTAGTATATTTTTTCGTTATTTTTTTTTTTTTTTTTTTTTTGTAAACATACTGATATTGTACACAGAAAATTCAAATTGAATAATTCAAATCTCACTAAAATGAAAAAAAAAAAAACAAAGAAGACTTGTTCAACCTTAAAAAATTAACACAACTAGAAGCATGCACAAACAGCTATTCATGTGTCTTTGCTACCAAATGTACCAGTCCAAAGAACAAATGAGTACTCCTTACATTTGTCCAGTCAAATGATTGGCTAAGTGAAAGTTTCTTGAATGCCAACTTACTAGCGTAAAATCGCAATGGAGTGCTCTTTAATAAGGACACCTGGGAAAGAAATAAAAAGATACGAGGAGAAAAAAATTATTTCAAAATTTTAACCCTAAGATATTATAACGTTGGAAATCTAAACTTATTACGGAAGATATCAATAATAGTTACAAACTGGATTTGTGGAGTAAAAAATGAACCAACATTTAAACAGATCTTACCCCAGCATACGCTAATGCACGCGGCAATTTACTAAGAATTCCCGTGCCTTCTGCGTATACACTTGCATCAATCAGGACCAACCTGGTCACCTGACAAAGAAAAAAGAAACCGTGGTATATTCAAAGTACTTGAAATGCCAACTACAGAACATATTAGGAAATGGATAATTTTTGAACGGTGAAGGAATGATATCAAAAGATACTTGAGACTTCAATGTTATAAAAGATTTTAAACCGACAACATATAAAGGTAACTGCCAAGCAGTCTAAAGAAACAATGAAGTAAAATTAATTCAAGGAATGATAATTTACTGCTTCAGGGTGATTCACTACAAAGTCAATGGCAACCGCAGCACCAAGGCTTGGCCCTACTAATACCATTGGTCGTTGAATATGTGATCTCCAAAGCTGCTAGGAAGAGAATTCAAATCGTTAGTTCTCAAATAATGCAAGAATGGAAGACAAATATGTGATACAAATGATGCGCTCATAATGTTTCCACATGTAGAATGTAAGAACTCGACCATTATAATCATTAGCCTTACACCAATTACTTAGAGGCGGCTACATGAATCCTCATGTTTCATACATCTAGTAAACATTATCTAGCATTAAAATCATTCTTCGCAAATTATTTAAAATATTACATACTCTACATCATGGAGGATTTTCAAAGGTGCACTGCCAATCATCGTTAACAAAAAAACAAGAATGGATGATTATTAAGTGGTTAATCAGAAGTCAAGAGTGGAAAATGTATCAAATTTTCTCAAAATGCAGCACAAAAGACGGGCAAATCCTCAATATATATTTTAAAGCAAATCAACATCAGTTATATGAAAGCGGAAGAGGCGCATACAAGCAAGCCAATTCAAAATAATATACTAAAATTGCAGAGTTACCTGATAAAGGTGTTCACGCTTGGCAACCACGCCAGATGATGGAAGCATTTCTATACAAAAAGTTGGATAGAACTATTTCTAATAGTCCAATTGAAAGAGCAATAAAGTATATATAAAAACAGGAAAAACGATTACTCAAATCAGAAAAACCCCATCCAAGGATGTCCACAGCCCATGTCTCGAGACCAGAATCCTCAAGCAACGGATAAGCATACCTCCATTCTAAACACGAACTGCAGAAATAGTTTAGTTGAACTTTGGATCAAATGGTGAAAACCTCAAATGCCTACGATAGAATTTCATGAAAACAATGGTCTCACAATACATTTAAACCAAATCAACATGACTGTCTGAGTAAGGGGTAAGATCATTTCCAAATCTAATCAACATGACTGTCTGAGTGCTTAAACTATGGACAGCAGAATAATTTATTATGGCAAAAAGTAACATTTAACTCCTGAAATTGATGTATAATATGATGAAATTTTATATAGCGGTGGTCAAAAGAATAATTTAATTATGGCAAAAAAGAACTTGTGGCGCCTGGAGTTGAGTTACATTATACTGAAGCTTCAATTTAGGGCTCATTTGGTTTCTTGTAGATAGAAAACATGGTTTTAAAAGTATTAATTTCCTTCTCACTTCTTTTGTATGTGAAAACAAAATCAAAATAATTCAAGGGGCCTAAAGATGTTTGTTGATTTTAAAGCCAACATTGATTTCTACTTGTACATTGATAGGAAATACTTGAGTTCGCAAGTAACCCTAAGGGGATACTTGAGTTCGCAAGCAAACCTACCACTAATTGGAGAGAAAACAGCGAGAAAAAAACAAAATCTGGGCTAAATCAGCCCCAAAGTAATAGATTGCGATAACGAAACAAAGCACAACCAACACAAAAGCAAGATACAAGAGATCCTCAATTCGAGAGGAGGATCGTCTCTCCCAAATCTCTAGACAAGAGAGTCTAGAGCCCAAACGCCAAGAAACCCTAATTCTCAATCAATCAAAACATGAATCTCCCTAATTCCCTCATCCCCTTTAGTACAAGATCTTTCCTAATTCAATTTCTCTCCCAAACCCTAGTCTCCCACCTCCTTTTGAATTTTCAGTTGATTGGAGCAGTGGGGCCCGTCCCCTTGTGTAGACCAAATAGAGAAGGCGGAGGTTTCCGCCTCCTATAGACCAACGGCCCTTGGGCCAGCTGGCTCTGGACCGGTTCCATGTGAATTGATCTAACAATACCGCCCTCCCAAAGAATCACCTTGTCCTCAAGGTGAAAATCTGAAAACTGATGTTTAATCCTCTCGTATGGCTCCCACGTGACCTCGTAATCCATGAGGTTCTTCCACTTGATCAGACTTCCTTAGTTCCATCTTCGTTCTGATGGACCCCCTCCAACTTTGAGGGTTCCAGAATCACCTCTACATCCTTAGTAAGTGTCGCTGGTAGCTCGGGGTTGGCTGTGTAGTCACCAATGGCCTTCCTCAACTATGAGACATGAAAAAACAGATGTATAGTCGCCGAGGGTGGTAATTTTAGTCGATATGCTACTGCCCCAATATTCTCCAGCACTTCATAAGGCCCAAAATACATTGGAGCCAACTTTTCATTCCTCCTATTGGCGACTGTCTTCTGTCTATACGATCGGAACATCAAGAATACCCTCTCCCCTATTTCAAATTGGATGTCCTTCCTATGCCCATCCGATTGTTTCTTCCGAATTTGTTGAGCTCTCAGTAAATGCCTCTTCAACTCCTCTAGCACTCGATTCCTCTCCTCCAAGTACTCCTCTACTAACGAAACAGGGGTACTGCTATTCCCAAAGTGCACCAAGTTTTATGGATCCCGTCCGTACAACACCTTGAATGGGATCTTCTGTGAAGCAGAATGAAAGGATGTGTTGTACCAGTACTCATCCCAATATAGCCACTTAACCCATAACTTTGATGTCTCTAACACAAAGCATCTCAGCTACGTCTCCAAGCTCCTGTTGACTACTTCTGTCTGGCCATCTGTCTATGGGTGGTAAGCTGTGCTCCTCTTGAGAACTGTCCCCTGTAATCTGAATAACTCCCTCCAAAAATGACTGAGGAACACCTTATCCCTATCTGATACAATCGCCTTTGGTAGTCCGTGTAATCTGACCACCTCCCCAATGAAGGCTGATGTTACGGTCACTGTGGTGTAGGGATGTCGGAGGAGAATGAAATGGGCATACTTGCTCAGCTTGTCCACCACTACTAAGATCACCGTGAACCCCTCTGAGCGGGGCAACCCATCTATGAAGTGCATAGATATCTTCTCCCACACTCTTCCCAGTAGATCTAACGGCTGTAGTAATCCTCCTGGTGACATGGTCATGCACTTATTCCTTTAACAGATCTCACATCTAGCGACCATCTCCTCTACATCTTTATGCATCCCCTTCCAATATAGCTCCCCTCCTAGCCTCCGGTATGTTTTTTGGACGCCAGAATGGCCCCCACAGCGCTTCCGTGAAACTCTTGGAGTAAGTTTCAAATGTAGATCAAGGTCCAGGGCATCACAAATCTCCCCTGATATAGCAGTTTGTCTCCCTTCAATGAGTACCCTGGGTTGTTACCCTCTTCTTTCAGCAAATCTGACTTGATCTTTCCCAAGTTTTCATCTCTAGCGCTTTCCTCTCTGATGGCCTCCCAATCAAGCATCAGAGGAACAGATAGTGTCACGGCCTGCAGCTCCCCCATACATCTGGACAAGGCATCTGCCGACTTGTTCTCCACTCCTGGCCTATACTGAATCTCAAAGTCGTACACAAGCAACTTGGACAGCCACCTTTGATGCTTCTCTGTCACCATCCATTGTTCCAGCAGATATTTCAAGCTCCGTTGATCTGTCCTGACAACAAAATTTCTCCCCAGTAAGTAGGGTCGCCACTTCTGGATGGCCAAAACGATGGTCATTAATTCTCTCTCATAGACTGACTTCAGCATGGCTCTAGCAGTCAAAATCTGGCTGAAATAGGCAATGGGCCTACGATTCTGCATAAGCACTGCCCCAAGCCCATATCCGAACGCATCCGTCTCTACAATGAAGGTCTGAGTGAAATCTGGCAAGGCTAGGACCGATACCGTAGGCATCGCCTTCTTCAGGCTCTCAAATGCTATTGTGGCCACCTCCCCCCATAGGAATCCGTCCTTCTTAAACTGCTCAGTGAGTAGTCATGCTATGGTGTTGCACCCCTTTACGAACCTTCTGTAGTAACCTGTCAGTCCTAAAAATCCTCTCAGTTCCTTCAGATTCTTCGACATTGACTACCTTAGCATTGCCTCAATTTTGGATTGATCTGCTGTCACCCCCTCTTTTGACAAAACATTACCCAAGTACTCAACACTGACTTATGCGAAACAACATTTCTTCAAGTTGGCCCTCAGCTGATGCTCCTGCAGTACCTCTAGCACCCTTTTTAAATGCTCCCAGTGCTCCTCTGTCCTGCTATAGACTAAGATGTCATCAAAAAATACTAGTACGAACTGTCTGAGATAAGGTTTGAAAACCTTAATCATAAGGGCTTGGAACGTAGCGGGAGCATTGGTGAGGCCAAAAGGCATAACCAAAAACTCATTATGTCCCTCATGAGTTCTAAAAGCTGTCTTGGGCACATCCTCCTTCTTCATCCGAATCTAATGGTAACCTGATTTCAAGTCTATCTTGTTGAAGATCACTGTTCCACTCAATTCATCCAATAACTCATCAATAACTGGTATGGAAAACTTGTCAGGTACAGTCTCCTTGTTGAGTGCTTGGTAGTCCAGACAAAAACGTCAACTATCATCCTTCTTTTTACCAATAGAACCGGACTAAAGAAAGGACTGATGTTGGGTCTGATAATTTCTGTCTCCCGCATCTCTCTAATCAACCTTTCTATTTCATCCTTCTGGAATTGAGGGTAGCGATATGGTCGTACACTGATAGGCGACACTCCCTCCTTCAACACGATGGCATGCTCCTGCTCCCTCTGCTGTGGCAATCCCTGAGGTGGCTGAAACACCTCTTGGAACTACTGAATCAACGGTTGAAAGGAGAGGGGCATGTCTCCTCCCTCCTCTAGTTTCGCTCCCTCCAAACCTGCAGCTCCACCAAATACCCTCCGCCCGCCACCTGAATTTCCCTCACCATCGTTTTAAGAGATATCAGGGATTTGGATAGCCCCGCATCTCCCTTAATCACCACCTTCCTTCCATCCACCATCAACTCCATCGTGAGTGTTCCCCTATTTACTTTGGTGTCTCCCAAAGTTTGTAGTCATTTCATCCCCAGGATGATGTCAATACTCCCAAGCTCTAGCGGAATAAAGTCTTCCCTCACCTTATCCCCTGGATCGTCAATCGCACTCCTCCGCAAATCCCCTGACCTTTCTCCACCTTCCTCGTACCCATCATCACTCCATAATAACTGGTGTCCACCAACCTCACTCCCAATTGGTCGACGACCTGGGTGAAAATGAAATTGTGAGTAGCCCCACTATCAATCAGCACCACAAACTCCCTGTCCTCTATCTCTCCCTTCACCTTCATGGTGTGATTCGTAGTGAATCCTACTACTGAGTTCAAGGAAACCTCAGCCGATCCAAGTGTAGCTTCTCCTCCATCTCCTCCTCTGTCTCGGTGCTTGCACCGATGCCCTGGTGTGTACTTTTCATTGCAACGGAAGCACAACCCCTCAGCCCTCTTCTCCTGCATCTCTTTCTCTGTCAATCGCTTGAAGTTTCCTCCATTTCCTCCTTCTGTCTTCTCCTTGGTGGCCTCTCGACTCCCTTCTGTTGCAGGAAGCACAACCCCTCAGACCTCTTCTCCTGCATCTCTTTCTCTGTCAATCGCTTGAAGTTTCCTCCATTTCCTCTTTCTGTCTTCTCCTTGGTGGCCTCTCGACTCCCTTCTGTTGCAGGACCTTTAGGTGCAAGATGAGTGGTCGTCATCCTGTACGTGCCCTCGGTGCTGTTACTCCTGGCTCCCTTCTCCAAATTCCTCTGATTTTCCACCAGTTGGGCCAACTTCATGGCCTCCCCCAAGTCACTAGGCATCAAAACCTTTATTGTTGCTTGGATCTCTGCATTCAGCCCTTTCATGAAATTTCCCTCCAATACTGTATCTGAGAGTCGCTCCACCCTGCTAGCTATGTGCTCAAACTGCTCCCGAATATCTACTACGGATCCCTCCTGTGTCAGAGCAAAGAACTGTTCATAAAAGTCTCCTCCCCGATCGGTTTGAAAATGCTCTATTATGCAATCTTTAAATTCCCTCCAATTCCTGATTGGCATCCTCTGGTCTCTCCACTGAAACCACGACAGGGCTTTCCCTTCCAAGCACAATCCCGCTGTTGTCAACTTCTACTCCTCCGTCAACTCATTGACGGCGAAGTACCGCTCTACCTTGTAAATCCACCCATACGTATCTTCTCCTTCAAACATGAGCATCTTCAACATTCTCACCTTCTGGTTGCCACCATTTGCCCTTATTCTTCCATAATTTCCCCGTTCCCAAGTGCTAGGTCCACCCCATGTTTCCCGATCTTCCCTCGCTCTGCCATAGCTCAAACTCCCTTCGAAATCCTCCTTTCTTCAAAATCAGCACCTCAACGGCCATAGTATCCCTCCAAGCGTTCCCTATATCTTCCTCTTTCATCCCTCTGGACAGGCTCCAGATGATGTATTCTTCCTCCTTCCACGATCTCCACCTCATCTTCCTCCCTACAGATTTCAAAATTCTTACTTTTTCCTTCCACTCCTTTTGCCACTGAAGCCGCCGTTTGATTTTGAATCTCTAACATTTTCTTCATCAATCACGGAGGTCAGCGACTTGTCCCTCCACGGAAGAAATCCTTTCCTCGACCGTCGTTTTGATTTGATTCATCTTCCCTTCAAGTCTTTCCTCCAAGGCATCCACTTTTTTGGCCGCCATCACAATCCGGCGTTTGTAGATTAACAAAAAACAGACTTTGGAGTCAAAAAACAACAATTTCTTCCTATTTGGAGCGAAAAACTGCTGTGGAATCCGTCGAAAACAGCCCTCCATTGGTCCCGAGAGTCGCTCTGATACCAACTTAATAGGAAATACTTGAGTTCTCAAGTAACCCTAAGGGAATACTTGAATTCGCAAGAAAACCTACCACTAATTGGAGAGAAAACAGTGAAAAAAGAACAAAATCTGGGCGAAATCAGCCCCAAAGCAATAGATTGCGATAACGAAACAAAGCACAACCAACACAAAAGCAAGATACAAGTAATCCTCAATTTGAGAGGAGGATCGTCTCTCCCAAATCTCTAGACAAGAGAGTCTAGAGCCCAAACGCCAAGAAACCTAATTCTCAATCAATCAAAACATGAATCTCCCTAATTCCCTCATCCCCTTTAGTACAAGATCTTTCCTAATTCAATTTCCCTCCCAAACCCTAGTCTCCCCACTCCGTTTGAATTTTCAGTTGATTGGAGCAGTGGGGCCCACCCACTTGTGCGGACCAAATAGAGGAGGCGGAAACCTCCGCCTCCTATAGACCAGCGGCCCTTGGGCCGGCTGGCTCTGGACCATGAACCGGTCTAACATACATCTAACCAAATGATGTAATCTAGTGAATTCACCATTTGTAAAAAGATGTTCATTAACTTCAAGTGACCAAATGGAAGATTTTAAAGCCAACATTGATTTCTAATTATATCTAAGCAAATGATGAAATCTACTGCAGTTGCCATTTGTAAAAATATTCTCTCAAACTTCAAGCAACCAAATGGGCCCTTGATTAAAAAAATAATGGATCAATCAGGTCATTGACTACAAGAGTTTTTTTTTTATCTAAATACGGTACATGTGTTTACATATGATCTAGGCATATTTTAACGTTGGGCTACGTTTTCAATGCAAGAACAATCAAGGTACACATTTCTTTTAAAAGGGAATTGGCATACCTGTCGAAACTATGAAGGAGAACAACTGGTTCTGATTTATGCTGCTCTACCGGCTTGACACAGCTACTCATGATAGAACTTTTAGAGAAACTGAACTGAAACTTGCAATGTTAGTCACAAAAAAACTTGTAGCAAGATATGATGAAGAAGTTACCTTTTATACAAACAAATAGAAGACACAAACTGTTATGTTTTAGGGTATTTTTTCAGTTGGCCTTACTAATGTAGTTTACTTGTGATTGCAGTTTGTAAGTGATTTCTGCAACTGTTCAGACCTAATTTACAACTTCTCAGCTACTGATCATAATTGTATAATTACTAGATGACAGTAAACATTATTAAACAAGTTATAGTAATCATAAAATAGCAATTAATACTTTATGAGACTAATCATAGTTAATTATTATATAACACCTGGCAGCTAGTCCCTAACGGACACCAATAGCAAGCTAGCAATGATAAAAAAATGTTTATTTAACCACTACTAAGTATAAAATATTATTTAAGGGTTTGTTTTTTAAAATATTATTTATATAATAGTTTGTTACATTAATAATATAATGTTATCAGCAAAGACCATCAATGATTTTTATCTTGCTTTCTTTAGTTTTTATTTCATTGGTTAGATAGCCTTCTAAATGTGGGCAGATCTGATCATTAATTTCATTTATAAAATTTGTATTTATTGATATTAGGGAACCGAATAATTGACATCAATTAATAACATGATATTACATAGTAGATGACAGCGAATCAAACAACACTGAAACCAATTAGGAGTTAGGAAAGTGTAATGCATTAGTTGGAAAATTTTTTTATAAATTTGATGGGCCAAGTTCAAGCGCTCATCATGCCCAAAAAAGTAAGCATTTAGTTATATCTACAATAAATCATTGATTTCAATTAATAGCTGGTTTTTTTTTTTGGTAGAATTGGAGCTGATTAAAATTAAAAAAGAATCATCACATTGAAGAAAATAAAGAACTCTAGAAAATAAAGAATAGAGTTAATCATGGATATATGATGATTTGATCACATGTATCATAATGCATGCACGAGCTTCATATAAACTAAAACAAGCCACAAATTATAAATACACAAAAATAGGATAACTCATCCACGTAATAACCACTAATTACAACGGATTTTTTTCTACAAAAAGGACAAGGGGCCTTCCTACGGACAGTTCTTCCATCTTCTTTATTGATGGATGCCCTAGTTATCGTTGTCACTCACACTACTCTAAAACGTACTAGGGACAACGATAGAGGGACTCAAAGTGTCCAAGTTATGCTTGTCTTGGGCTCGCAAGCAAATCCACCTTTGCTTTCCTCCCTTAATCCCTCGCTCCCTGAATCACTTCTTCGAAAGATTCACTAAGAGGGTTGTAAACCTGGGACCAGCACTGTGAGAACCACGCATCCGTTCTCCCCTGACTTGTCGTGGGACGAGGAAGAAGATCCCACGGCAGGCGCTCTCACTGCAACCCGTTCTATCGAGCAACGTGCTTGATACAGCAAAAAGCAATCTTCATCGCCAATTTCCCACCACGCATCCTAATATAATAGCCTACGGCCAAAAGACCAATCTTGACGCCAAATTGGGATTAACCCATGCTTCTCTCTTTGAGAGATTATTGGGTCAGGACATCAGATACAGCTTATCATTCGGTACTGTGACAGCACCGAGTAATATTAAACTTGATATTGTCGAGTACTGAGTTTGATACTTCACAGTACCAAGCAGTACTGAGCTCGGTACCAAGCTCAGTATCGAGTAGAGGGTGATGTAGCGCATTTTCATGGGGCTATGAATGTCGTCCGGTGTCCGAACCCAATAATCTCCCCCTATTCAAGGGCTTTTTTTTTTACATTTTAGATTAAATTTACACATATCAAATCCAATATCTCTTCAACAATAACCAAACTCCCCACCAAAAAATCAAATGAACTGCCTACGTGCCAGCGCTGTTGAACCCACTTCGTTGAATAATAGTCCGAATCGACCGCTGATGAGCCGATGAAAGCGCCATGAGTCAGTGAGTCGTGGGCCTAGATTTAATGGAAGTTGGCCTTTTCTATATTGCTTAGTGATTGCTGTCAAAGTCTCGACACTGCGACAGCCTTTTCCAAACAAAAAAAAAAGTTTCAACATCACACGTTTATGTCTTATTAAAAAATTAATAAATTAATTAAAGACGTCAATATAGTATATTAAGTAAAATAATGAAGAATAAAAAAATATAAAAAGTCAACAATTAATAAGAAAATGTTATATTTAAAAGAAACAAATAAAATATATTTTTATTGTTAATTTTTTATAAATATTTTTATAGTATCTTAATATTTCTTTAATTTAGATAATTAGTATATAATTATTTTTAAAATATATATTCATCTCTTAGATTTTCAATATATATATATATATATATATCACTGTATCCTCGTATCTACTTTAATGATTCATAGATCATGCTAAAAATCTAATGTGAATCATACCAAAAACAATTTATCAAATAAAAAAAATCACTCCAAATTTGTTGAATTTAATAAGCATTGATTCCTACACAACAATTTAATCTTTTTTTAGGGGCGAGCAAGCTACAAGTGGGCTTTTTAAAAAAAAAATTGGGTACCGAAGAACAAGTTGGGATTCAAATTCAAAGAATTGAAGCTAACTACAAGGATATTTATTAACTAAATTATCTAACACCCATGAATATGACAATTGATAAATCTTATCGTATCATATACATTGATCATTTGTTTGATTATTTTCTGAAATAATTGATCAAAATAATATAATTTAATCATTAATAGAGCTAAAATAGGATTAAAAAAGAGCATAATTTAAATACTCAAAATTATGTTAAAAAGCTTTATTAACATTTGAACTAATTAAGTTAAATTTATACACATATCACATGCACAAACTTCAAGTATATATATATAGCCAAACCCCCAACCACCATATCAAAATAAGCTGTGCATCTAAGCTAATTTTAACTAAACTATGCCTAAAATAGACACCATGCAGTCCCTTAAACTGATGAACAAATCTACCGACACTTTTTTATGGACACTTAGTTGAATTATACAAACGCAGCATTTCTAATCACTAAATTAACCAACCCTTGATGTACTATTCATTCTAATCTCGCCTCGTTTGCATCATGTGCACGTTTTATTCGGTCTTTTTTCAAGCAGGCGAGAATGCCGAAACAGTTATCAGAATATAAGCATGGCGTAAGGCTCGCTCAATGGTCTAATCGATCGCATGCAGTAGATTGAGACGGCAATCAGGTCACACAACAGGAAGATTCCTTGATGAGACAATTCAACTGGTGGAGTCAAGAGAAGCTCAGAGTGGCTTTTACCTTCTAAATTTTATTAAAAAAAACCCTATAAACCCTCTAAATTTTAGTAACTTCTTTTCATCCATCTCTCTTGAACTAATTCCCCTACTCATCCCGAAAAAAATACTGATCACCCTAAACCCGTCCAGGTAAGATATCCCGAACAAATTAGCATAACCCAAAAACTCAACATTACTACGCAGACTGATGGGTTAGGATTATTAATCCGATGCATTTTCCACGAATCTAACAATTCAACATTAAACCCAGAAATCCCGACGAAAGGCTCAAAAGGCGAGAAAAAGCAACCAACCCGCTGCATTTAAAAGCACTTACCTCCTAAGCCATCGCGCTCTCTCCACAGGAATCCTCTGTATTCTCTTGGCGAACTCCCTCAAATGCCGATCTCTAATCCTCAACCTCTTCGGTAGAAAAGGAAGGAGATCTCGATTGCAAGCCCTAACACAAGCCGCCATACCTCTGCTAAGCCCGTCGCCGCCATCAAGATCACCGGCATCCTTGTCAGTCTCGCTCGCTACCCGCTTTCCTGAGCACATGGCATGGCTCCAAACCATTGTTTTTATATATAGCACCTATCCGGAGCCAACAGGTTCACGTACTTTTTCTTTTTTCTTTTTTTTTTTTGGGCGGGGATTTTTTATTTTTATTTCTCGCAGGAACGAGATTTAAATAGAGGGATGGGATTGTACGCGTGAGGACTTCATCAGGAGTCGGCTTAAAGCATAAAAAATGGGAAAGCTTACGGAGCACCTGAAAATTTTAATGAAATTACAAAAATTCTAAATTTAAAATATTAACAAGGAATCTATTATTTAAATAATTAAATTAAATATTTGAGTCGGGTCGGATTCGATTTTTAGCCTTGAGCTTTCAAAATTATATAAAATAAATATATAATTAATTTAAATTAAAATAATTTTTTTGCTAAAAGTTATTTATAAATTATTTAAATAAAAATTAATATTAACATTCATTATTTAAATAAAATACCTCATTTTTATATTAAAAAATTTTAAATTTTCTTGTGGAAACACAAATAATTTTTTTCAATATTATCTCAATTTTATTATTACTCTTCAAGCTAATATTAGTCAGTAAAAAAAAAATTGATTATAATTAAAAAATAAAAAATATAATATGTGAAACTTATATTTTTATAACACTTGACTTTATATTTTTAAAAAGTCAATACTTACTTATATTTTCAATAAATCAAATATTTTTTCTCAAAATAAATGACAAATTATTATTTATCAACTGACATCATTCTATTCAATATAAAATCAAAGTTAAAGAAGATAATTAAACAGATAAAATGATAATTTACTATATACTTATATTTTTATGTGTCATCAACATCAAAAATCAAACTTGATTAGGCACGATCTCGAACGCAAATATGTATTTGGAAACTTTAAATTAAAATTTTCGATCATCCAAACTCCAATTTCAGCAAGCTTATTAGTAAAAATTGAACATCTCGAGAGACAATCCTAATGACGCCAAATTCAGTCAATCAGAGCCAAATGAGTCCAATCAAAGGACCAATAACACTCTTAAAAGCTTTAAAACATTAATTTGATGACCAAGCACGATATCCAAATATGACTGTCTTATAGTCGAATTGAGTGGCTCGGGGAGAGAATACAACTAGCAAAATTGACATTCTGAATCTTGAGGCACTTAAATGCTCGATAAATACTCTAAGAGCAAGGAATCACTATGAGTCGTGTGATAGAACACTACTAAATCTACTTAAGATTTCTTCATATTTATTGAGATGACACTCCAAAAAAATTATAAATAGAAATTCATTCTTCACTTGAAAGGAGGAGCGAGAGGAGGAATAATATAAAAGCTCTAGAACTTGAAAAATCCTAGAGATCCACTCAGACCAACACTGTCAATGAATTAGTACCGCCAAGCTGGCACTACATAACCTTTGCTTGAACCAATCCTATCAGACTTCTTCCGACAGACCATCATCAAACCCACTTTACAACCTCCGTTGCTCGCCGACTATAGTCCCTCCGACCTCCGTCGCCCACCAATTAAGATCCTTCCTCTATATCAACATCGTCTGCAACACGAATCTTTCAACCTCTGTCTCTCGTCGACTACAGTCTCTATTACCATCATCGCTCGACTACATTTTCTAACCTCCGTCGCTCGTTACTACAATCCCTCTAGCACGTGTTCCCCACCACAATCCTTTCGACCTCCGTCATCCTGCCGACTATGGTATCTCACACACGTCACCCGATCGAACAGCTTCGTTCGACCTCTGTCGCCCACCGGCTACGATGCCCCCAACCACCGTCACCCGACTACGTTCTCTAACCACTACCATCCAAATACGACCTAAGCCACAAGTAATAAGCAAATAATATCTTATAAAATAGCTATTATCATTCTCAAACTATTAATTGTAACATCAGTTTTTGCTCCAGTTGCGTCCGGACGAAGTTGGATCGTCCGGTACGATCGGTACAGGTGTTTAAGGAAAACAGTTCTGGCTGCATGATCGTCTGACGAATGGTCTCGGACAAAAATTTTCCAGAGGATCGGTCCGGGACGATAATTAAATACTCCTTCTGGACGACACTTGTCATAAGCCAGATCAGTCCCGGGACGAAGTGCGATTGTCCTGGGTAGCGAGTCGTCTGGATATATCATAGAAAAGAGATTATTTGAAAGAGGAGCAGGAAAAGCCAAGAGAGAAGAAAAAACGAAGGAAAAAGTGGAAAAGTGATTTTCGGGCCACGCGAAAGCTGTGATTTCTCCGAGAGAATGTTACAGAAATTGTTGTACGCAAGGTAAGGCACATTCCGCCTTTCTCAATTTTTAGAACGGCGCATATTTTCTGTCCGGATTTCATTTTGTTAGCGATTTTCGTCCGTATTTTCCGACTGGTTCAGTTTTTACCGCGTAAGTTTTTGTATGTTGTTGACGTGCCGAGTGTGCACATTTTGGTTATTTTCTGGAGATTTTTGTCCGGATATTTTGAATTCGGCGGTGTTTTATTTCGACTGTATTTTTCTACGATGTCTAAAAATGTTGTGGCAGTAGAATTAAAGTCTTGCAATGTTGTTATCTATATTCTGTGCAAATTTGGTATTCTGTGATTTTTCAGGAAAATTGTGTAAATTCCGTATACAGCCGTTGTGCTGCCCGATTTTTGTCTGATTTCTGAATTCGTCCGGATTTCTTGCTATATATATGCTATTAAAAAGGGAGATATAAGGGGCCTGGATCCTAAGAGATTCAGTTAGTGTCTGGGAAATCTGAAATGAGCTCAATCTGAAATCTGATATCTGTTCTGTTCCGGATCCGATGAAATCTGTTCTGGTGCTATAAGCACATCTGTTCTGGTGCCGTGAGCACATAAGCATATTTGTTCTGGTGCCGTGAGCACAAAGGGAGGCATAAGGGGTCAGAATCCATAGAGATTCTGTCAGTGTCAGGGAATTTAGTTATTAATTATAATGCTATCTGATATAATCTGATTCTGATTTCCGTATCTGTTCTGTAAGCAAATATGATTTCTGAATTTCTGTACGATATGATTTGGTCTGATTTGGATGACATGATTTTGATACTATTCTGACACGATTCTGTTCTGTTCCGATATGATCTGAATTTCTGATTTCTGTACGATTCTGATTCTGTGGATCTAATCAATTCTGATTTGATCTGTTTGTTCTGATCCGTACGACTCTGATTTTGATTTGATATATTTTCGTATAAGTTCTGATTTGATTCTGTTATGATTCGAGATACGATTCTATTCCGATTTCTGAGTGGATTTTGGTTTGATGTGTTTGGTTTTGGATTCTAGAAGTTTTGATTGGAGGTTTGTTGTTTTGCTGAGCTGTTGAGCTCACTCTTGTTTTCTTGTGGATTTCAGGTTCTGGGAAAGGGAAGAAGGTCCAGGAATAGATTTCAGAGTCTGATCCGTAGGTATTATTTTGTACTTTTGATTTTTGTACAGACATGGCTCTTCTGCTCTGTTTCTTTCTGTCTGAGCCATGGTATGTAGTTGTAGATGATTGTTTAGAGAAAAAGAAAGAAAAATATATATGTTTTGTTCCGCTGCATTTGATGTTTCATAGTAGCTCTGAGCGTCTGTTTTTGAGTTGAAATATTTGGAAGAATCAGTTTCGAAACAAATTCCAAAGCCAGATCCTGGTCTGTTTGTTCGTTAAGCTGGTCACGGCCTGGTGCGGGCGGGATCCGTCTCGGGTCGGGTCGTGACAGTAATGTGCTTTATATAATATGTATTTTGTTACATTGAGCTCACACCCTCCTCCAAGGAAGGAGCAATTATTAGGTCCTTTCACTGGATGTAGAAGAAGGTTCGGTTTTAGGCAAAAATAGGTCAAAAAGTGCAAATACCGAGATCCTGGTCTGTCTGTTCGTTAAGCTGGTCGCGGCCCGGTGCGGGCGGGATCCGTCTCAGGTCGGGTCGTGACAGTAATGTGCTTTATATAATATGTATTTTGTTACATTGAGCCCACACCCTCCTCCAAGGAAGGGCATGATTTGTAATTAACCACCAACACTAGTGAAATCAGTTCAACTGGGCATGACCCCGTGATTTTTTTCCCTTTATGAAGTTTTTCATATAAAAAATTTTGTCTCTTATGAACACTGCACCCCTACTCTTTTATCTATTTGTGTGTTGGATCTTTATACAAAGCTAGGACGCTAAACTTTATATTCCGACAAAACTCATTTTTCCTTTGCAATTATAGGTTCCGTATTACCAATCGGGCTATTTTTGCATTCTTCATGCCAAATAATGATTTAGTATTATATGTTGATGACTTTAATGGCTATGTGTTGTTTGTTTGGATGATAAAAAGAAATTGATTTGAAAAAAAAAAACGGGGCACTATCTTGTACTCAGCCTAATATGACATTTAATGATACATAAATTTTGTTGAATTGGGTCGTGACACCGGCAGCAATGGTCCACCAGCAAAGGGTTGACGACTGTGGCGAGCCAGAAAATTTCCGACAACAACTATCGGGTGGAGGTTCGACGATAATAGCTAGGCGAAGGTTCAACGACAATGTTTGGGAGGCAAAAGCATGACAACGATGGATGCCTGATGGCAGCGATAGAAGGTTCGTCATTGGGCTGAGGTTTGACAATGATGCCTAGGCAATGAAAATATGATGGTGATATCTAGGCAGTGAAAGTCCGACAACAATGGTTGGTTTAAGGTCTAGTGGCGGAGGTAGGGCAAAGGTCTAGCGGCTGAGTTTTGACAGTGATGATCAGTTAGTGAAATTTTTCTGCATTCATACGATAAAGGGTTCACTGGTGACAGTGCTCATGTGGACCTTAGTGATTCCTTCAAACCCTTGATTTAGGCTCATTCGGGCTTGTATTAGACCACTTTTGATGTCATTGGGATCGACCAGTGTACTTAAATCAGAGCTCGAATGGTTCTAATTATCATGATAATGATAATAGTAAAAAAAAAAGATCTCGAATGGTTCTAAAATTAAAATTTGAAATTTAAAATTTAAATATGCATCAAATTTTATACCCAACCAATGTAATTTTTTATGGCATATCATCTCTCTTTCATAATAAATAAGTAGACTCGTGAGCTTACACCAACAACCCTCAACTTTAGCTCAATAAGTTAACCAAAGTTAAGCACAAATAAAATTGACTTTATCTCAAAATTAACCCTATATCATTAAACCTAAATCTCCTTAAAAAGAATAGAAAAGTCATGGCACTTTTCTGCATGACCTAAAAAAAATAGTTGCAATAATTATTCTGGTTTGATTTTAACTTTTTATATGAAAAGCTTGGTGCAGTCACAGCTGCCAAATAGGACACTTGTAATATATAAATGTATATACATAACTTCACAAAAATAAAATAACTCCCACCTACCTCCTCCAAAAAAAAAATAATGAATAATAATTTTTTATTTTTTAGGATTATAAAAATAATTCATAATTTAATCAATAAAAAAAGAATTTATTTTATCCTACCACTTGTTTTTTCTTTTTCTTTTTTTAACCCAAAGCATATACTTTATCTGTCACCTCCCTGATTTAGGAACAACTATTAGGTCTGGTGACCGGACGTAGTTCTACGTATGGTCACCACTAAGTTACCCGGAATTTGCTCGGTATTTGCTCAGTATTGCTAGGTATTGCTTGGCAATAACGAGAAATACCGCTCTATGAAGACCAATACCGAGTAATACCGAGTTTTTCTTAAAAAAACTCGGTATTGCTCGGTGTTGCTCGGTATTTATCTTCACATAATGGTATTTCTCATTATTGTCGAGCAAAATCGACAAATACGTGATTTTGTGCATGCTACGTGGCACAATTTAATGCGGACCGAACGTAGCTCTACGTCCTTTCACCGGACCAAATAAAAGCTCCTGATTTAGGGTTCATAATCTCTTTTATTAGTATTTCTCATTTTTTAAAAAAATTTATATACATAACACTAAAGTTATTTATTGAACTCCAATATTTAAATTACATTAAAATATTATTATTTAAAAAAAATAAATTGAAAATTTTCATATATTTATTTTAATATAATTTCTACACTAAATTTATTCCAAAGGAATATTAAATGTTTTAATGTTAAGTATACAAATATCAAAAAATATCTTTTTTGTGTTTAAAGCTTCCTCGCTGTTTTAAGCAAGGTATGTTGTTCTCCCTTTCCTTCAATAATATAAAATATTTGTCTTTCTTTCCTGCTCTTATGCTCTGACATTTTCCTTTTCTTTTGCTTTAATATAACCGAACATTTCTCAATCAAATATATTGACGCCCACAATGTGCACTTACATTCTAAAAAAGAGTTGTTTCGATGGTTCAAAAAAGGAATGTAAAATAAAATAAAATATAGTTTATAAGAAATGTTATGTATTTAAAATATTTAAGATAATATGAATAACAAAAGAAATAATAATAATAATAATACCAAGGATTTATCCCACTATGTGAGATTGGCAAAATAATTGGACGAATATAAAATAAATGCATATGATTATTTTTTTTTTTTTTGACTTGATGTAAAATAAATGTGGTGTTAAGCCTGATGATGGAAGAAAATAGAAGGCAATTGGTGGCAGTGGCGACAACGGTCGATGATGGCAGCAATTGGTCGTGGCTGGTAGCAGCAAACAATGGTTAATTAGAGAAATGACCAAGAATTTACGATATATTTGAAAATCGTCTAAATCTAATGGTTTTTAAATACACCAAAAATACACTAAGTAAAAGGAGCACATACGTGAAAAGGTTGGCGTAACTCTAGCGACAGATATAATTAGAGAGTCGTCTTAGATAATTTGCACATAAAAAATGTCACCTTCCGATGACCCGATTAGAAGAATATATATGTATTGGATATGACGTATATTAAAAAAGGCAGATATAGACCTAAAAAAACTTTTGTTAAAAAGAATTAAAAATCATTTTTTCATCGATTTTAAAGGAAAATTTGACTCTTATAATAAGATACAATGAAGAAAAAAAATTGATATAGCCGACTCTAGTGATGTTGTTGTTGCATAAAATACATCAAAAATTTTATACAAACTCACCCAATCACTATTACTTCATATCTCCCTATAATTTCAATTGCAAAATTTTACACACTAATCTCCAAAATCACCTATCATCCCTCCAATATCTCAAAATTATAGCAAAAACCTCAAAACATCCATAATAAAAATAACTCTCTAAATATTCAATCTGCAACTGAATCTACATAACATAATCCTTCAATCACATAGTGTTACCTCATATGGCATGCAATGTTCTAAGTTTTACACAGATATTACTATCTTAATAAGTTGGTAATTAGCCATATGAGAAACCAAACAATCTTCTCACTATACTGAAACTTCACACACATATACAACTTTGCATGGCAAACATGATCTTATATAGTATAGTGGTGGTGCATTAGGTAAGAAAGTCTTATAGCTATTCCAACATTCATGAAATGATATGCAGGTAGTCATCTTTTTCAGCTATGGGAAGTTGTGGAGTAACATAGATTATTCTGTAAGGATAATGGACGGGAAGAATCATCTGGTTTTGTCTCTGTGAACATCAAAATCATAGCATGAACAACAAAAGCGCAGTTCATTGTGCTTTTACTGTTCACGGGGACGAACCGGACGGTTCTCCCTGGCTGGTATCCGCACAGAATAATTCATCGGAGTAATAGATGGATAGTTACTTTGTAAGATAATATACAAGTAAGAAGAGCACCACAAATGAAGCAACAAGTGTGACCATCCTGCGGCTTGATTTATTTTCAAACACCTGATATGTAAGATTATATGAGATTAGCTAGTATATAAAATGCTAGAAGGCTTTATAATTAGGAAAAGATAATTAAAATAAACATGGAGTATTAGTATTACCATCTTGAAGCGATCCATGGTTCCAGATAGGACTCCTCTTGAAGAATCCATATCATTTCCCTGAAATTGTACAAGGCTGACAGTTACACAAAAAATAATGAAAACTATAATGAAATAGGAAGAAATGGAAAAAAAAAAGGACAGGTTATTCAACGAAGGTACCATTCTATCCAGCATGCGATTGTGACTTTCAACTTCCTCGTGAACATCACCTGTCAGCTGTTGAAGGCCAAGCGATTAAATAAGAAAGGATAAGTAGGCCAAACAAAAGAGGACACAGCAAGAGAAAGTCATATCTCATATGCATGAAAAACATCAGAAAGGTTAAGGGAACCTTTGGGATTACTTTTATTATTATTTTATTTTATTAAAGATTTAATATGATTCATGTCTTAGATAAAATATTTGTTAAGAAAAATAGATGTAGATCTAAAAAGACTTAATTAGTAGAAATGATGTTTCTTTATTAGATTTAAATGAGAATTTAATTCTTTACATGACACAATAGAGAAAACGGATTCATGTACCTGACCCCACAGAATAAAAGTTTGATGTTATTTTTGTTGTTGTTGTTGCAAGATTTAATATGAAATAAAATATAGTTATTATTATAAAAATATATTATTTTTTATTGAATATCAAATAAATTGATTTATGCAAGGATAACAAAACCGACGGGGCAACAATTGTAGCCGAAGAGGCAATTACAGTGGTGTCAGTCAGTTGTGATAATTTTTTTTAAAAACATCCAAAACACTTAAAAATTATTTTGACTTTTTTAAAAATAACTTGGTTTATTTTTCAAAATAAACAATTTAAAAATAAACCAAGCAAATATATTTTTATGAAACAAAATAAAAACAAAAAATAAAAATGATATCAAATAGACACAAAGGAAAGTAAATAAAGGCCTATAGCAAAGCTCGTAATCAGTGAAAATATGATATCAAGATTTTTTTTTTTAAATGTGAAGTATGTATGCTCGCATATGCCTTTACGGGTATGTAGCAGATAGTTGACGAGGCATAACAAATGAACTCGCCCTCCCAAGAGGCCCACTTGGGGAACTCGCATGGAACTCACAAGAGAACTCACCTGAAATGATCAACGGACGACACTCATCCGGGCCTTCTCAGGAGCTCCCCTATACCAGGCAGATTGAGGATTCCTCTTCAGCGTTAGCAACTCAACAATCGTCACGTGCCTAGACTACATCTCAATCACTCATTATCTCTCAAGACAACCATTCTCACCAAACTCAGTTACATGAAGGTGCCTACTCATGGTACCCTCAATTCGACTCGTTGTGATCATCTGATCCAGAGCTCTCCCTTCCAACAGCAATATTCCACTTGCCCCTCTTCTTCTTAGGTGATGATTATAGAGTTTCCATACAAGTTGCCATCCATGTCAACCAATTCATCAGCCGCCGGTCCCCTCTCATCTTAGTACTTGTATGCAGACATGTCTAAGCACAATCACCCTTATCTACTCGATGTCACTGAGCTCGTTTAGAGAGAACTTACTGAAGTCTTCCAACCTTACCCTCTAGCCAATCATGAGGCAACACATGTCTAGGATAGTGTAAACCAATTTATCAACCGCCAGTCCCCTCTCATCTCAGTACTTGCTTGTAGACATGCCTGACCACAATCACCCTTATCTAATTAATGTCATCGAGCTCGTCCAGAGAGAACTAATTGAAGTATTCCAACCTCATTTTCCTTCAACCAATCATAAGGTGACACGTATCTAGGACAATGTGTAAAAAGTTGCACTTTTTATTTTTTTCTTGAGTAATCTTTTATGTATCCCTTAGACCTCCATAAATATTGGGCGATGAGAAACCGTTTGGATAATTTTGGATTGATATATTGAATACTCTGTCTGTTTTTAGACTCATAATTTTCTAAGTATCCCACAAATTTTCTATATACTCTCTTTACTTAAAGTAGTGAGAGTGATCAAATTGTGCCGGTAAGATGAAGTGTTTGGATTCAGATAATGGAACAATTAAAAAGAATGAATTAGGAAATGGTCATATCAGAAAAAAGGTGAGGGTTGTACCTATGCAAAGGCAGCTTATGTGATTTGGAACATACAATTATAGGTAGAACGTAGACCAATAAGAGGTGGGTTTACAGAACTATTGTTAAATGATTAGGAGGAAAAAAGCAGCAGGCCATAATAAGATGGCCATAAGTTATACAAAGAAAATGAACAAAATAAATAATACTTCAAATAGCGCCTAGCAAGAATGAATGGATGATTCATAAACCAATGGAAAATAGCTGGGATAATTCTAAAATAGTAATGGTAATAATTAAGGAAAAAATCTAAATTATATTTACAGGCATAAAGGATACTAGTTTTAGTTTTGCTTGAAAATAATCCGCACAATTAACTTCTTGATATTAAAATATTTTTATATACTAGCACTATTGATACAGAAACTTACGCATAATAATCAACAAATTTTTTAAAATGTATGATCATTGAATCAAATATGAATCAAGAAATAAATGATACATGTTCGCAACACTTGTATCATTTTTCTGCAATCAACATAGAAACTTTTTGATACAATGTAATATACATATTCAAATGAGTTTCAATCTATTTGATTACATATACACCTTATAAAGCATGAATAATATATATCACAAGAGTAAAAGCTCAAAATAGTCCCTTGACTATTGATAAATATCCAATTTAATCCCAGAATTTCGCATTGCCATATTTTAGTTCCTCAACTATTAGAAATTAAGCCAATTTAGTCATAGAGTCTAAAATAAGAGTTAAAGTTAACTCCAAAATTAAATATGAAGAGTATTTAGATATTACAAATGAATATAACATTACATTACTTACATTGCTCTATTTTATCATTTGATAAATTCTAGTATATAGTTAATCTAATATATAATAAGTATGAATAAATACTAAACAAATTTTATATTTTTTAAAAACAAAATCTAACATTGTTTTTCTTTATCATATTTTAATAATTTTATAGATTATGTAATAGATTAAAATTATTAAAGGAAATTTCATTTTATATTAAAATATAGTAAAGAATAGCAATATTAGATTTTATTTAAAATATATATATATATAATTTTTTTTAACTATTTATTCACCCTTATTATGTACTAGATTAACTATATATTATAATTTATTAAATGATAAAATAGAACAATATAAGTAATATAATCTTATATTCACTTGTAATATTTAAAATACATTTCATATATAAATTTGGAATTAACTTTAACTCTTATTTTAGGCTTTGGGACTAAATTGACTCAATTTCTAATAATCAAGAGACTAAAATGGGGCAATACGAAACTTTGAGACTAAATTGGACATTAATCAATAGTCGGGGGACTATTTTGAGCTTTTACTCTATATCACAATATCTCGAATGTGTACTGGGTGGCAATTTTCTATGCTTGATGACTGAAAAGCTTATTCTTAAAGTTTGTGAAATTTTGTACTACTAAGATTAAGATGAATGGTTTTATATTTGAATGTAAATATATCATGATTTTGTAATATGCAAAACTAACTATATGGAAGAATGAATCTTTCTATGCATAAATCAATATTCTGTGAAAAGGGATAGAGAGAGGAGAGAGAAAGAGGAAGAGAGAGAAGGGAAGAGAAAAAGCACAAGAGAAGAAGGGTGAACAATGGCAGGAAAAGGAAAGAAAACTTTTGGATTGAAGCTGACCTTTGAAATGACAACTTGCCTATCATAATATCTTTGTTTAGAATTCTAAAAATTTTAGTCTAAGTAGACTACTGTTGCTTTCACTAATCGGCCTTTTTTACATTATCTTTCTATTTGAGAATAGGATTCTCTCACATGCCACTAGTTTATGTGATTCATTGATAAGTCATCAATATCCCAGCCAGCAATGGAGAATGAGTGATTCAACAAGCTAAACAAAGAATTGTTCCTAGCGCAACTGCATAATCATAAGTTCTCCTTACGTTGTGAATTACTTATTTATGTGGCATTGTTTTTTTTTTTTGCATGATGTGGCACTGGATTATTAAAGTAGGCATCTTTAAAACTTGCTCTTACACATCCATTTCTTCTCATCAAAATTAATCTCAACTATTTAGGATGGACTTTATGAATTCACCTCCATTCATTCCTCTTGTGCATACATTAAGTGTTGAGCTATTTTGGAAAATACTTTTTGCATAAACCTATAGCTACATTAACGTCAATCTGCCCCTGCAAGTCAAATCAAATAATGCTTGAACAAGTCAAGTCAAATTTAGATAAACTTGAAATAAATTTTAAATCAAAGATGGAGCTCAAAATCGACTCAAGTCAATTTTGAGTCTATCCAATTTTGAGCTATTTTGGGCTTTGACTATTTTTAATAATTTATTTACTCAACTATTTGTCTATTTGTGCTCCATTATACATGTCCAAACAACTTATTTATTCTCACTAATTCCATTGTTCCTCTACTGTAGTCATTTATCATTAATCCTTCTTGCTTTTAACACACATCCATCTTAATATTACCATAACTAAACACTCAACTTCTCTATCAATGGATTTTTTTGTTTCCCAAACCACAAATCCATATAGCCTAGCCACTCTGATTATAGTTTCATAAGGTTTACAATTACTTCTCCATGCTTCTCTAATGACATTGTACTCTTAAGGCTCTCGCCAATTTAAGACATCCAACTTCAGCTCTATAAGTTATATCATCATCAATTTTCCCCATTTTTATAATAAACATAAGGAATATCAATCTAAAAGTAAAACACATAGGTATTCAACAATATAGACAGATAATTATAATTTTCACATAAAAAAATTATATATGATCCCAATCCTTCTCTTTTAAAAAAAATTTCAGTACTCAAGCCTTACCTCATTTTAGAAGAGGTCCCACCATAAATCAATACGCCTCACTTTGAAATGTTTCTTGAGCATCTCCATAACAAACTCAAAAAATAAATCTTAATCACGACCCTTGATTGAAAACTATTAGGTCACATCACAACAACTTCCAATATTAATCATTGCACCACCATACATTACTTTAATGATTTTGAAAAATGATTGGCATATATATTTTCTTCTTTATGCCCATCTAATCAGTCCTTGATTCTATCACATATCACTTTAAAGATAAAAAAATTATATGAAGATATTTTTGATGAATTATAAGATTTTTCCTTTATTC